AAGGTTGTGAGAATTGTAGCTTTGTAAACTACAGCTCCCAGCATCCCTGTTGTCGTTGAGGGAAATGGGCTTTAAAAGTATGGCATATTTGTAGCCAAAAATGCAACTGCTTAGGATGTTTGGTCAGAGCAGCAGCCCAAGGAAAGGGGGTGTTTAATCTCACTCTCTATTTTCCTGATCAAAATCATACACATATCCAGGGTGCTCTTTGTCTAAAAGGGGAATATACAATGCTCCCTTGTAGTCTTTTCTCTGCAGGAAAATCAGAAGCCTGAATTGAAGAAGGCAATTCTGATAAGGAAAATAGTGGGGAGATGTTTTAAACACCCATACCCTCACTCTCCTCTCCCCAACCTTACTGCTGCTCTGATCTCTTTGAGAGAACAGGAATTGGATGAGGAACTCCATCTTTGTCATGCTAAATTTGAGACTACAGGAAAATACAGAGGACAACTGAAATGCGGAATGAGCTGAATGGCAGAGATTTGGATTTAGAAGAAGGGGCCCTCTAATGCTATGATTATATGAATGACTGCATGCAGGGAGCATAAAAACAACCACCACTGAATTTTCTGCTTAAATTTAATTGTGCTTGCTCTGATCAGCACAACTAACACAATGCACTTACCTCCAGGGGTTTGTGTTTCCTTCTGGAAATGAGACTGTGGTGTCTTTATGATATGTGGTTTATTTACACATATATACTATTTGAGCTTGGACGCGGGTGGCGCTGTGGGTAAAACCTCAGCGCCTAGGACTTGCCGATCGCATGGTCGGCGGTTCGAATCCCCGTGGCGGGGTGCGCTCCCGTCGTTCGGTCCCAGCGCCTGCCAACCTAGCAGTTCGAAAGCACCCCCGGGTGCAAGTAGATAAATAGGGACCGCTTACCAGCGGGAAGGTAAACGGCGTTCCGTGTGCTGCACTGGCTCGCCAGATGCAGCTTGTCACGCTGGCCACGTGACCCGGAAGTGTCTGCGGACAGCGCTGGCTCCCGGCCTATAGAGTGAGATGAGCGCACAACCCTAGAGTCTGTCAAGACTGGCCCGTACGGGCAGGGGTACCTTTACCTTTTTACTATTTGAGCCTACAATTCACAGCATTAACACCCAAAAAGGGTCTTGTTTCTCCCATAACTGCAGCCTTGGATTCAAAGAGAAATCAACCATTGCTCTGTCTCTCTGGCTTCCCAGCTTCCTGCTTTGCTTCTTGGTTCCATCACTGCAAAACTCAACTCTAAATTCAAGCCTTGTCCTTCTAACTATCTCTGAGTTGTGGGACGGGCTCCACCCATTTGTTGTCTCGCACAGAGCCCTCTTTCATTTGTTCTCCTAATGGCCCATCATCCAGGCGATCACCTCATCAGGACGCTAGCCTGGCTTGATTAGTTTTTAACACTTGCTGGATCCAGGGATTAGAAGGGTCTGGCACCCAGTTTAACACACACACACAAACCAACTCATAACAGCATGAAGAGGAACCTTGCTGTAAGCAGGATCCAAACATAGGAGCCCAAGCATGTGGGTGGAAAAAGAGGACTCTATCTGGGCTCAGAGGTTCATTGGGGCCTGCCCTGGTTGCAAGCCATAGCTGTCAACTTACAGATTTGAAAATAAGGGACCAGCAGCCTCGAAAATAAGGGATCAGCAGCTAAAATAAGGGATTTTGCTTAGCTTATGATTTCCATCGGCCCTTCCCCGCCCGAGAGGGAGGGAGAGAGACTCTAGCCCACGCCACCCGTGAGCCCAGCATGAGGTGGTTGTGGCGCTGCAGCAGCTGCTGAAGCGCCGCTCTTCTGCATCCCTCCCCATCCCCTCCACTTCCTCCTCCCTCAGGCCGCCTCCTCAGCTGCCGCTGCCACCTCCTGCTTCCCCTGGCAGCGCGGCCGAAGTCTTGCAAGAGAGGGGCTGCCTGCCCGCCTGCCGCCACTTGTCTCCTCACGACGCGTCCCTGAGGGGGGAAAGGGAGAGACGGAGGCGCAGCAGCTCGTGCACGCGCGCTCTCTCACTCTCTCGAGGTGGAGGACCCCAAGCCGCTGCTTCCCTCCCGAGCCGGGTGAGCATGAAACCCAGGAAATTGAAGGGACATCATCAATCCGGGACAGCAGCAGGACACGGCGCTGGGATAAGGGAGTTTCCCGCCAAATAAGGGACGGTTGACAGCTATGTTGCAAGCCCATTACTACAAAGAATAAAAAAGAGGCTAACTTGTAGATAATTATTGAGGATGTTATTGCAAACCTATTTCCCTGTATTTATATGGGGTGTCCAGACCTTGTAAGATTTGCTAGAGTCAATAAGTATTGTTAGAACAAGAAAGACAACATTCTGAGTAGCATGTGCTCGCCCTTATCTAAACAAAGCTGGGGACACACACAGAATGTAAGTTGCACAAGAAACACTAGAACTTGCAGTCTGAGAGACTTATGCCTCCCTATAGCATATGCATTCTCAAGAACTACAGAGTTCCTTAGTTGCTGATGGCATTCCCTGTACAGGAATTTTCACCTAATCACTTTGCACCAGCAGTAGCTGACATAATGTCCTCCAGACATTACTGGGTTACAATTTACTTCAGCCCCAGCCAGCATTGCTAATACTGTACAGTCATACCTTGGAAGTCGAATGGTATCCGTTATGAGAGTTTGACTCCCAAAACGTTAGAAAACCAAATCTTTGCTTCTGATTGGCTGCAGGAAGCCATGGAAGCCCCGCCGGACGTTCAGCTTCCAAAAATAGTTCGCAAGAAAAACAAAAGAAAAACAAAAACAAGACTTGTCCATGTATATCATGGGTAGCCAAAGTGATGCCCTCCAAGTGTTGAAAATTCCCATCATCCCTGACCATAGGTCTTGCTGGCCAGGGCTGATGAGGTTTGTAGTCCACAATACCTGGCCAGCACCACTCTGTTCTGTGTGCTTGTTAATATTGTATTTAATAATGCTTTTCACCAATAGTTGTAGAGCAGGTGTTAAATTTAGCAGCCCCTTATGTCCTGGATTCCTGCCAACCTAGCAGTTCGAAAGCATGAAGTGCAAGTAGATAAACAGGTACCGCTCCAGTGGGAAGGTAAACAGCGTTTCTGTGCGCTGCTCTGGTTCACCAGAAGCGGCTTAGTCATGCTAGCCACATGACCCGGAAGCTGTTCGCCGGCTCCCTCGGCCAATAAAGTGAGATGAGCGCCGCAACCCCAGAGTCGGCCACGACTGGGCCTAATGGTCAGGGGTCCCTTTACCTTTATGTCCTGGATACTTCCTGATCCCTTTTTAAAAACTGTTATTGCACTGGCTGCTTCTCAGTCCTCTGGTATAGGAACAAGTTAGATGTCTTTGCTAGAAGACCAGCACTTCACATGTGAGCTCTTCAAGAACTCCTACCATGGTAATTTGTTCATTTTCAATTTGTCAGTAAGGCCTAGACCTTTCTTGATGGTCAAACCAATTTGCATCACTTCCTCAGACTTCCTTTCTGAAAAAAATCCGCTTAGGCACTGATATCTGCCCTGCATCTTTTCCAGTGAATACATGTAAATTCATCCAGCTTTTATTCAATCCCCTTATCCTGCCTTAGCACACCTTTTACTTCTGTGTCATTCAACAGTTTCCTAGCTTGCCTTCCTAGCCAGATTGCTGAAGTCTTTAAATAATTTAAATATTTTGTATTTTGGTCTTTTTGCAATATGCTCCTCAAATTCTCCCCTCGCATCAGCCCATTACTCTCTGCTACCATTTTTTGGCTAGATTATATATATATATATTTGTTCCTTTACCTCTTAATTTGGGGGAGGCTTCCATTTTTTGAAGGAAGCCTTTTGGCCTCTAATAACTTTCTTGGCTTTGCTCTAGAACTATGCTGGCATTCTCTTAGGATTTGATGGTACATTTCCTAATCTGCAGTGCACATTGTGGTTGAGTTTTGTTTCCATTATTTTGGTTTTGAATATGCAACAAGCGTTCTGGAGATATTTGGCCCTCTTGTCTTGCCCTTTTCACTTACATTTTATTTACAGACCTCCTTCTTTCTGAGGCATTCTTGGCTTTGTTGGATTGTAAATGCTGAATCTGATAGTACTTCACTGCTTCAAAGTGGTTAATTTTGCTGTTCCTTAAATTACTGTGTGTCATAGCACTGAATTAAGACTACAGTCCTGTGCATTGATAGTAGCACCTTAGATTTTATCAGAGTTGTGGATTTCAGCGGCCTGTGTACTGGATTGCAGAGCTTCTCTGCTGGGTCACTGGGCTCAGAAACCGTTTGATTTTGCATTTCAAGGGACGGAAGGTTGCCTTTGAACTGTCCCATTGTGCCTTAATTTAACAGTTTATAGCACCTCTATCAGTAGAAAGCCTGGTGAAAAGTTATAAGGGCCACAGTAATTAGCAGAGCTGAAGTCCAGACACCCTAATCAACAACAACAGAAAATGCAGAATATTTGTTGTTGCTTACACTGTATTAGTAGAGATATTAATACATGCATTATGAATAGAACTCAAATCTATTATTGTATAATTCTGCATTTAACATGCAGATGCTTGCATGTGGGGTCTCTCTGCGCGGGTCTGCAAGAAGAGTTAAATGACTCCAGCTTGCTGTTATCCCAGCATTTTGGGGGAAAGCTGCTTTATTATTTTTCTGCGAAGCCACCTTATGTTTTTAGTAGCTGTGGCTGATGAGCCAAGTTTGTTGGTCTTGTTTGAAGCTCCTCCCCGGGGGTGCAGAACAGGAAGAGGTGGAGGTCAGAGGGAGCTGCTGGAGTTCCTTGGTTTGTGTGTGCGTCTGAGTGAAGTTGCCATTACCCTTTTACTATGTGTGTGTCTTATATTACAGCAATGCTGCACATCAGTGGCCAAAGAGAGGGGAGAAGGGAGGAAAAGCCTGTTTACACAGACTGCAAACCGCCTGGGGAATAATGCAGGAAAGGAAGTGAGCCGGCTCGCTGTCTGACTGCTCCAACTTCCTGCTCTCTCACTCTCGCACACACACCAACCGGGGGGGTGGGGGGTGGAAGAGAGAAAGAAACAAGGGGGGGATCAGGATCTCATTACAAGAGCAACAGAGCGTTTTGGAGGACTGTCAGTATGGAAAACGGGGGGATTTTACGCAGCTCCCTTTAAACCCGCGAGGAGAGATCGGAGAAGCCCACCAAACTCCGGGTATGTAAGCTTTTTAAAAGTTGGGCAGAGTTTGGAGTGGGGAGGCAGAAAAGGGCGAGGGGCAGACAGGTGGGAGCAGCATGGGATGGCGCTCAGGCGGCCCCCCCATCTTCCCTGATAAAAGGCGAAAAGTATCGCGCCCCGGGTGGGGGGTGCGGGAGATCCCTGCCCCGCCACAAGGCATCCGGTTGGGGCTGCCGGGGGAGGCGGGAGAAGAGTCCCGGGTGCCGGGAGCTCCAGTGGCAGCTCCAGAAGCCCCAGTTGCAGCTCTTTGCTGCGGGGCAGAAGTGCCATCTGTCAGGGGGGGTTGGGAAATGTCTGAGAGGGAGCAAAGTGGGTCGTGTGTGGGGGGCGCGGAGCTGGGGGGGGGAGAGAGAGAATGGCGAGACGTCGCCCTTTTGGACTGTGCATGAGAGAGGGAGGGCAATGGGAACTCCCGGGGTGTGGGGGGCAGAAAGGAGTCCCTGGCTTCTGCAGGAGGCGCGCGTTGTGTCAACTACTTGTTGTGCATATGGCAATGTGGAGGAGTCTCCACCTGCCGTTGACAAAAAAAAAAAAACGCTGGGGGGGGGCTAAAGATGGGGCTCTCTTCTCCAGCGGGGAAGAGGGGTGCGAGGAGGGGCGTCCAACTTTGCTGGAGAAATGGGAGTCTGGGGGTGCTACTGCGCCTCTCGAAGCGCGCGCGCGGCGGTGGGGAGGGGTCGCCTTATGTTTGGGGAGACGGCGTGGGGGTCAGTGCCTTTGTGAAGCGGGTGAGCTGGAAGGGGCGCGCGCCGCCTGACAGGCTTGAGGAGACGAGAGTTAATCTCTCTCCAAAGGCGCTGCGTCGCCATGAACCACTTTAGGGGTGTGTGAGGGGAGAGGGAAAGAGAGTTGGTATGTGCGCCTTTATGTGTTTCCACAACCTGGGAGCGAGGTGGCGGCGTCCCTGCTCTTGCTGCCACATGGGCCGTTTTATTAAGACAATGAATTTGAGTGTGTGCGCGCAGAAGGAAGGAGTGGGGCGGCGAGGTGGGGGGGGGAACCGCACACCAGACTGTAGCCCAGAGGAATTAGAGCAGTTTGCTTAAGGGCAGCGCAAATTGCTGGGGGCTGCAAGGAGAGGAGGAAACGGCCAAGGGGCTTTGGAGGAGGAGGGGGGCAGAGTTGGGAGAGTTTCTGGCTTGTCTGGAAACAGCAAGACTAATTGCCATGCGCTTCCGGTTTGAAACTGGCAGCAGACAACATCTTGAAAATGAGTCACTGCAGCTCACAAAGAAACTCTGTGGTTTTCTCCTTCTCAGGTTTATGTATTTGCTCTTTTACAGTTTCCTTTGTAGTTTTGAGAGAGCGAGAGCTGGAGAGGCTCCTTCACTCTCGCCCTCTGCCTCCACCAAACCCCCTCCCCACTCCATTTTTATATTTTACACCATCAGTTTAAAAGGGGGGGGGAGACTGGAGAGTTGTTTTTGGATCTGGCTGTGCTGAAGGTTAGAGGGACTCTGATGCTGCAGGAGGAAAAAGTTCCCTGAATTTTCCACTGGCTGCAGGAAGAGAGCCCATTTAGTCATGGCTAAGTAATGTCTGCACACACCAACTAATCTCATTAGGAGTTTCCGTTCCCTAACACAGGAGGGTTTTGTGAAGCCCTCTCAGCTTTTCTGCCCACTACTGTTGAAAGCGAGACAAGTTACATCTTTATTTAGTCAGGGTGGGGGGTGGGACTTACTTAATTTAATGCAGCATCTTTTTATCATGTGATCTTGAATGGCTTTTTAAATGACAAAGGACACAATGGTTTCATTTTAATGTTCCTAAAATAAGGGCTTTACCCTTTATTTTGCCTTTTTATGCTTTTTTATTGGTTTTAGGGCTTTGATGTGTAATATTTGAAAATGGGATCTACTGTATCTTATTAGTTCCCGCCTCCTTCCTTCCATCTCTTTTAGTAAATAGAGGATAATAAAATGTTTATCTAAAAGCAAATATATGCTAACTGCATTTGGCCAAATTATCTCGCAACTAATGTGTGCAATTTTGTGATTATTTAAAAAGATTATACGACATTTGCATTTGAACTTATTTTTGTATTGAAATAACATTCGTACCCCGAATGCAAATGATTGGAGGCTGTCCTGTCTAGGGCTGAATGCGTCTGTCACATTCCTGCGTATCACTATCAAATTTCTAACTGATGAGGTTGCCAGGCATCTGGGGATTTTCCTAGCCATAATTGCATTAATATCCAAAAACATTTTATCCAGGATTGGCACCCTTTGGATACAAATGGAGAATATCAAGATCATTGTGTGTTTGAAAAAAGTGTAATAGGTATTGCTTTATTGCACTTTTATTTTGGTTTTCCCATGTTCCCACAAAAACCTGATGTGGGATGGCTTAAAAATTCAATAAATTGTAGGTGGCTGCAGGGGCTAGGAGTGCTTTCTATCAATTGCTGTGGGCATCCGTCTGCCTCAGGAGACAATGGAAGGGTGCACCTTTGGGGGTGAAGTCAATTACATTTTCTGTGTTGACTTCACTATTTACCTTTGAGTAGTGGCCTGAGAATTACCATCCAGGCTTTTGTAACTCCAAGGACTGACTGTTGTAGTATTGCTGAACATGGATGCCTTCAAATAATGTTTAGAAGGTCTAGGTGCTGGACAATGTGATAGCTCAACTCCTTCCAGGAACAGGTAGGTATGCCATATTCAACAGGCATTTTGGCACTTTGCTCAGTCTTGGGCTGCGAGCCCCTATTCAAAATGCTGGGTTTGACCTTTAGAATGGTGCATACAGTGAATACTTTATCAGTGTCTGCTGTTTTCTGGAGAAGCTATGCTCAGACCCTTACGATCATAGACATTTGATGAGCGGTGGGATGGAGTACAGCCTTTTGAATAGTGGTGCATAAACTTCAGAATAGGGACAACCAAATTGGCATCCTCCAGATGTTGTTGGTTGCGTTCCAACTCTCATGAGCCATGGTTGACTTGGCCAGTGTTCAGTGATGATGGAAGATGTAGTCCCAACAACATTTGGAGGGTACCACTTTGGCTCTAGAACATTATTCCCAAAGAAGCACAACTCCAGATGGGTGGTTTTTGCAGGTGTATTCTGCAACATGTCATGATGCAATAATAGTGGTGGATTTATAGTGAACCATCCATAAATCATCCCGCTTTTAGGGCCGGACAATATATCAATATATTGTCTTATATCAATATCAAGAGCAAATCATGACAACCATTTTTTTAAAAAAATATTACCTGGCAATATATTGTGAATTGTGTGTGTCTTTGTGTGTGATAGTCAAAAAGCATGATACAATGGTACCTTGGTTTAAGAACAGCCCTGTTTACGAACTATTCGGTTTACGAGCTCTGCAAAACCGGAAGTAGTGTCCCGGTTTGCAAACTTTACATAGGTCTAAGAACAGAAGCTGAACGGTGGAAGGGTACCACCAGCAGGACTCCTCATTAGGGAAAGCATGCCTCGGTTTAAGAATGGTTTTGGTTTAAGAACAGACTTCCGGAATGGATTAAGTTCATAAACCGAGGTACCACTGTATTGTGAAAATTGGGAACCCAATACTTCTTCCTGTCCTGTGCAGCCGTTGCCATTGCTAACTCTGCCTCAGCTGCTCTTCTATGCCTCCTGTAGTGGCAGCAGCAGACTGACGCAAAATTTGCTCTTTGAGAAACAGTGTGTGCACTGCAGGGTAGCTCTCTGCCTTAGCTCTCTGCCTCCCCTGCCTGCCTCCTCAGTGGCAGGCAAAAATTATCCTTGGAGATATCGTGTGCACGCACATGCGTGCAGCCTAACTCCGCCTGAGCGCTCTGTTTCCTGAGCAGGTGGAGCTGAACAGCCTGCAAGCAGGAACTTCCCTCCATCAGAGATGCCAGGCTCTTGCTGAAAGGCAGGCACCAGGTTGGTAAGAGGCTTAGGTAGAAGCGTGGCTTCTGGAATCTGGCGCCCCTTTCCTCCTCCTGTTCTCACGTACAAACATAAACTTGGGTAATAAGAAAAAGAAAAACATGCTGCTCAAGCATAAGACTTTTTTTGCTGTGCTTGTTCGTTGCAGGTGGGTGTGTGGTTGTCTTTATACACCTAAGCTGATTAGAACTCAGTCAAAATAAAATGTGGTGTATCTACACCAGGCTTCCGCAAACTCAGCCCTTCAGATGTTTTTTTGGCCTACAACTCCCATGACCCCTAGGTAGCAGGACCAGTGGTCAGGGATGATGGGAATTGTAGTCTCAAAACATCTGGAGGGCCGAGTTTGAGGAAGCCTGATCTATACCCATATATATCTTCATTCACCATGTTTGTTAGTAGGCATTCAGTTGCTCTGATAAGAAAGAAATATTGGGGGATTTGTTTTGTTTTTGTGAACAGAAGTGCTTGTATAATAACATAGTACCATACACACCAGGATTTGACAAAGGACCTCACTACTAACAAGTAGCAAGGAGCTTTTTAACCCTATGAATAGAAATTGTGGGGCAGGCGGGCAGGGAGGGTATCCTGCCACCTCTTCAGTTTTCAAGATACGCAACAGGTGTGGGGAGCAGGACAACAAAACAGAGAAGTGTTTCTGCACTCCTTTCACATATAGTTTAGCTTGTGTTGCAGTTGGAGTAGGGGTACATGTTTTCAACCACTTAAGTCTCAGATTTTCAGCAGTGATGATTTCATTATGCATCAGGAGGGTTTTAATCAGGTCTACTGACACGAAAATACATAAATAAAAATTCTGTACAAATTTTATAATCTGTATGAAATAGGCAAATGAAGCATACTTGAATATATTTTCTGGTTTTGTTAATTATGGGAAGGTAGAATAATTACTCAGGTCAATGTTGAACTCTCAATCAGTATTTATTTATTTATTTATTTATTTATTTATTTATGTGGTTTTGCACAAGCTGCAAACGAGCTTGCAACAAAAGCAAATAGATAAAATAGGGTTACTGTACATCCGGAATTCCCCGGGATTTAACAGGCGAAATAGCACCCAG